TTTTTATAAAATAATTAATATTTTATTATTTAATATAATTAAAGCTATAAAACATAAGAGTCAATATAAAATCACAAGATTGTTCATCAACATAATAATACTCATAGTTTGATTCATACCCCAATGTTGGTGAGGAAAGCCTTAAGATCCACTAACCATTTATTTAATTGTAAAAAACTTCCTCATCCGGTAACAAAGTTTAAACATGTGATATTCCCCTCCCCATCCCCTTGCCCCCAAAGGTTGAACCAGTGTTCCTGTCCTATCAAAAAAAAACCCCAATGTTGGTTTAATCTTACACGGTTCCTTCGTCGACTCCCATGTGACCCTTCAGTTAGTGGGGTTATTAGTGCTGCGAGGTGGTCCCAGCTGCATCCAAATCAATCACTGGCCAACTGGCCGCCTCCTGACTCTCCTTTGCTTTGCGCCGTCCCAGTTCACATATACAGTGAAGTAAATAAGCATACCATCTTGCCTGAACAACAAAATCATCATCATTTCAAAGAAAAACAACTTAAACTCACATCACATTGTGTAGTACATTCATATATCTTGCAAGGCAAGTTGTCTGTCATGCCCGGTTGTTTAGAAAGTCCACAAGTTGGATTTCTCTTCCTTTTTTGACATCCCAGCATTATTTACTTCATCCTAATGGACGCAAATAAAGTCCACAAGTTGGATTTCTCTTCCTTTTGTGACATCCAGCATTATTTAGTTCATCCTTATCCAAACAAGTAAAGTCCACACGTTCGATTTCTCTTCCTTTTTGGACATCCAGCGTCATTTAGTTCATCATAATACAAACAAATAAAGTGTTGAGGGATGAATTTGTATTTGATTCATCTTTTTTTACCACCAGTGTCTTGGTCTGCCAATGTAGGGTTAACACCCACACAATTTTCTACAGCTGTTAGACCACCACAACCAAGACCTGCCCCACCATTTTCTGCTTCTACGTTTTTATGCTCATACACACCTTCTGACATCAACATTGTAGCAAGATCGTTAACCACATGTTTAGTGTAAATCTTAGCCCAACCCCTCTATGTTAGATAATATCTAACACCAATAACACCTTCTTTACTCTTTACCTTATTATATGATAGGAATGTTATGCAAAATCTCAATTAGGTATCATTGGTCTCGTCACCAATAATAATATATAAAGATATCATAATCTCTCACATTAGGAATATCTCAAATATATGATTTTCACATTCTTTAAATAATTGAGTTCATAAAGAAACTCATTTTCTCACAAGATTTTATAAGAGTTTATTAACCCTTCTCACATTTTATCACCACAAATGGCTCATCGATCACATAGGCTTAAAAATTTAACTTACATTTCCAAAATATCTCAACTCAAATTTCATGTTCATTTTTACCAAAATAATTACATGGACCAAATCAAATAGCTTTTCACTTGAGTTCTCAAAATTTCATCTGTTTCATCAGAAAACTCAATAATATAATCAATTAAATGCACATATTTATTCATCAATATTTCTTTTTTACCGTTAGAAAATAATGATCACCAATTCATTTTATATCAATGGTGTATATTAATACTTATAAATTACATAATAATAATAAAAAAAGCACTTCTAATTTATAGAATTTTTATATTCATAATTTCATATTAAAGTATATGCTCTACCCATAATTACATTTAATTCAAACGGCTAGTATCATAATACTTAATATTATGGTAAAACTCCAACATTAATATGCATGTATTTATCAATTAATATAACATTAAGGCTAACCATAAGGTTAATAACCATTCGTATATAATTAAGTAATAAATCATTGTTGCATATAACTTATGAATGGCCATGTATCTTTAAGCCAAATTAATCACAAATTCATATATGTATCAATGTATCTATAATGGGAGACATTAAAATTGCATGTACAACGTCTTAACATTTTTTTTTTTTTACCATCCACACGCCATTAAAAATAAATAGCCTACCATTCAAGCATGTGCTAATAATCATATTAGGATCTAAAAACTCATACCTGTTTTGAGGCACCTAAAACAAATAGTATTTTGCTTACACAATGTGGCATATGTTTCAATTTTGCTTTGCATATTAAATTGCCTTAAAATTGTTGTTTCTTAAACACTCTCCTCCGTCTCCACATTATGTTATTGTTGTGCCTCGATCACAAGATCAGATAAAATAATAATTAGTGAACCTATTAAGAAATATTGATAAGAAAATATTATCGAAATAGGCGTGAAAAACTTACTTACTTTAAGGCGATTTATATTTCTATGAAGAATAGATCAATTGGTGCAGTAGAGATACATTTTGCATGCCGCCCCCAAGATGCTATAACCTTATAATAACAGTTTATGAGTCTACACTACTGATAGAGTCACCTAACTCAAAAACATTCTTCTTTACCCAAAAATATTTAGAAAATAAAGTAAGGTAAGAAATAATAGAGGAATGTGTTGGAACACTATTTGTTAAGCAAAAACACATGTCCTATTTATAGGATTCATGATCTTGTAACTGTCATTTGTAGATTAATGATAGAAATAAATTGAGCAATTATTATGAAATAATGTGTCTTTAAATATGATAATTAACTTACAACGGTTAATTTAACCAAGTTTTTAATAGGACAATAAATTTGATTTATAAAATATATTATTTTATGTTTTTATTAAAATATTTAAATTCTAACACCTTATTCATGAATTTCAAAATGACCACTGTGATAAAACTTGATTGTACCCATAACTGTCAAATTGAACAAAAATCCAACATCAAATAACTCCTATTCCCATTATACAATTTATATGAATTTAGTTCCATAAACCATAAGGTATACGTAACTGTAAAACTCTAAATCATAAACCAAATATGGTAAACCCATAAACAAGTTACTGTAAATCCCAAACAATACTCTTAAGTATGTTTTTTTTTTTTTTTTGGGTATAATATATAGTTTTAATTATTTTAATTTAATTTTTTTAAATATTAGCTTTAAGTTTGTTACTTTTTTAAAAATGGAATCACCTCTTGTGATCGTATATTTAAATGGAATTACGCATCCTTTGGTTGACGGAGATGTCCAGGGCGGTTCGGAGCTTTCTGGTAAATGCAAGGAAATAAAACCTTTAGGTTTTTTTTTATTTTTTTTGGTAGAAAAATAAAACCTTTAGTTTTTTTTTTTTTTTTTGGTAGAAAAATAAAACCTTTAGTAGTCTAGATAAGGTACAGCTTTACGGTGTGCCTTTCTCCTATAAGCAATCAACGCTTCCCTCTTCTTCTTAAGCACCTCCCAACCCATTGCCGGACACGATCTCTCCCTCTCATCTCTTCTTTTCTTTTTCCTTCCTCTGATCCTCTCCCTACAAGTCCTTAACTTTTTTTTATTCCGTCTAAATGGCAACAGTACGATCGCCACAGGGAAAACCAGCACCTAAACCTGCAGAATCCAAACCAAAGCCTCGCAAGTACAAGGTAAATCTTCTCTTCTAATTCTTCTTGGTTTAGTTTGGGACTAAAATCTTATCTCATATCTCACGTCTCTGGAACTCTGTTTTCTACAGAAATGGGTTTTGAAGCCCTCCAGTCAATGCGCGTGTAAAGGCTGCAAGAGGAGAGCCGGAAAGATCTCAACAATAAAAGGTTACCAACTAAAACCCTTCATTTTTTTTCCCTTTTTTTGGAAAATTTCTTTTCTATTTCAAAGTTTCCATCTTTTCAAAATTTTTCATCTGGGTATCTTTCATAAGTTTCATTTTCCACCAATTTCTGAATTTCTGATCTGGGTTTTCTTTCATTTCATAATTTTGATGAATTTTCTTTGTTATTTTCAGGCGTAAATACTGTGGATATTGATTTGGAGGAGCAAAAAGTGACAGTAAAAGGGAACATTGATTCAGAGACTTTGATCAAGGAATTGAAAAAGACGACATCGAAACTTTTCGAGTTATGTCCTCAATGCCATCAAGAACAGAAAGGGCAAGGAAAAGGGAAGAGCAAAGAGAAAGAGAGCAACCCGAAAAGTAGCCGCGAAGAAGAGAAAAAAACAGTGAAGACGGAAGTTGCAGGCAAAAGCGGCGGCGAAATTGGTAACACTACCAAGGCGGGACAACCGGTAAAGTCGGTGCTGAAACCGGCGATCAAAAGCGGAAAAATTAATGAAAAGAGAAGAGCAAAGAGAGAGAGCAACCCGGAAAGCAGCCGCGGAAAAGGCGTTCAAAAACACAAAAAGCAAGAAAAGGTGCCAAAGAGAGTCCATTTTTCCGGTGTCTAATTTATCGCGATAATTTGGGTTGGTGGTGCGAGCATTGGTCGTGAAGATGGTTTTTTTCTGTCATTTTGGTTGCGTAGAGGTGGGATGGTGATGTGGTATTAAGAATTTGTAATGTTGGGTGAGGGCGTGAAGTGGCGGCATTGGCATTGCAGGAACTCAACATAAAATTGGCTTGTGATGCTGGAAGTGGAGGTGGGGACAATGCTATGGTGATGTGGTATTAAGAATTTGTAATGTGGGGTGAGGGCGTGAAGTGGCGGCATTGGCACTGCAGGAACTCATCATAAAATTGGCTTGTGATGCTGGAAGTGGAGGTGGGGACAATGCTATGGTGCAAATTGAATGATAATAATAAATTAGGCAGGGTGATGCTTGTAGAAGGATTAGGTTCGCAATATAAGAGTTGGTCCAAAAGGGAAAATGAGCAAACTATTTTCTTTTAATATTAGTAATGTTTTCCAAGGTTAGGATTTGATTTTCTTTTTTAAGTCTTTTGACTCAATTGTAATCGTCTTCTTGTGAAAATGGTAATCTTTTGGAGGGTAATATTTAAGAATGCAAAATTAGTTGGTGGCAGTTAGCCCTGGCTTCCCTTCAATTTCTTATTACTCTCGTTTCTTTATTAATCTCCTCTATGGCTTTGTTTATCCTTGAAATTCCAAAACTCAATTCAAATTAGTAAACCAGACATAGATACCCATTTATTTGCCAACTTGCTTTCCAATCTATTACAAATGTTGCTCCTGTCAAACTCTAACCTTAAACCCCTCAATTCTCATGCCAGAAACTTAAGACTTTCAAGGGCCATCCTGCACCATGATAAGTAGATAACTCATCAGGGGTGTCTGATTCTGAAGAGCCTACTGGGTTTGGATTAGTGCATGTCTCACTGATTCTAAACTGTAATGATTCTTGGTCCTAAAGGTCTGTATTTGTTTCTGTTATTCTGGGGATGTAATCTTACATTTGGGTGCTAAAGGGGAAAGAAGTATAACGAAGGATCATGTTTGCAATTTTCTGGATAGTGATAACTTTGAAGTAAAGCTCTTATCCAGCCAGGGATATTTTCACTTAAAGCGGTGACAATTTGAGGTGTTAACAGTATATCAGTTCTTATTAACATTATATTAAGTTTTATTTTATTAGTTTGATATATGGTTTAGATGCTAATTGTTGGAAACCTGTCAATAATATTAAATGTTTATGTAATAATGTCTTAGCCAACTATGTATTAATTGTGCTTGTGCTGGTTTTAGCTGCTGAATGTTGGGGGGAAGTTGTCAACGAAGAACTTTAATGTCTTTTGTATGCTCTAGGCTACAAGAGTACACTGTAGAGACTGCCGTAGCCGTAATTGCCGATGGGGGTGCCACCCCAAGGATAGATACCCAGCACTTGAGGGACCTTAACTTCCGAGTTGGTTCCATCTACCAATTCATTGGTGAAGATTCAGGTTGATTGATAACTTTATCTCACCCAGGGACGGCCA